CAAAGTGGCACCCATATGGGATCCTGGTGCATGCAAGGTGAAAACTTCAGCTGTTGAGCCGTGGAAATGGGCCTCATTATGGACTCTTGAACTCTTACTTTATTTGAAAAGTCCTAATCCATCACTACTATTCTTAATTTTGATGCTTATCTTAATTTGGCTAGCAAGGTCTCCAACATGTGCATTGTGACCCACTCAGGTCCACTGCTTTCACAAGCATACTAGAGGAGAGCTGGACTGGAAGTGAAGCAGCAAGGATTCATACTGGTACCCATGTGGAATGCTGACACCAAAGGCAGTGGCTTAACCTGCTGTGCTCCAGTGCCAGCCTCTGTATGATTTCTTCAAAAAATCATGGATTCATATCCATACCTCCTATTGCAACCCAACACCACAAGGTTAATTCTAATACTTTGCATACTTGCACACCCCTTCCCCATCAGCAAGAAATATAAACTCCCAGATAGAATAGACAGATAGAGCTTAGCTATGGCTTCAACATATCTGCCTGTTTGCTCAGGTTCCCACGCAGCCAACCTCCTGACCTCCAGGGGACCACTATCCCTCAGGTCTGGTCAAAAGTCCTCCTTATGAAGCCCCCAGTCCCTGTGGATCCCCTTCTCTGCTACTCCAGAACCTTCCCCTGCAGCCCGTGGCTGCCGAGCTGCCTTCCTCCTGAGTTAACCTGTTGGAGAATTTTCACCCTCCTCTGGAAAACCATGCAGTAGCCTTTCAATCTGTGTGACCTCATATCAATATTTTCAGTGTTATTTGTGGCCAAATAAACTAGCTGTTTCTTGTTTATTCTTATATTTATCTTCTGGTGTGTGTGGGTTTTTTTGTTTTGTTTTGTTTTTGCCACATTCCCAGGATTTAAGGCCTGTGAGTATGTGTATCTGTAATCACAAAAGAACACTTGTTCATTGCTCTTAATTTCCAACATAGCTGATCAGAAAGCGGGTGTGGCCACTGATGAAATGGGTAATTGGAGCTCTTTGCAGTTCTGCCTGAAAACAAGTGAAGTTACTGCTGAGCGTATTACCACGGCCTTTGATGATCTTTTCTTTCACTGGGTCTTTCTCCTCATTGCAAACTCATTATGATTTAGCAACTAGGACCCTACTAATTTGCTTTATCCCTCCATTCTTGCATCCATCCACCTTTTCCTTCCATAATCATTCACTAGGGCCTTATTTCAAGCCAACTATTGCCCAGGACAGCCTCCATACCCACCCATCTACCAGCATAGGCTGCATCTGCTGTTATCTGGTTTCAGTTCTGTACTGGCCTCTATTTATTACGTGGCTGGTTCTGACCGTTGGGGCATATGAAGAGGAAGCCCTGAGTTGGGGGTGGGGAGGGAAAAGGCACATACAGGAAGGGGATCATTGTGAACCAATCAGACCTCCCAGGAGGGAAGGACCAACTCCTCACAGAACCACTTTCCCTTCCTGTTGGGTGGTCAACAAATCACCAGGATGCCAACAGGAACAAGGTGTTTACCAGCTGGGGTCACCTGCACTCTGGCTCCTGGGGATCTTCTGGAGGGACAGGAGCAGAAGACAAGGGCAGGATCTCTGCAGGATTGCTTGTGCTGCTGGGACCCAGCTGACAACTGTCCCTACTATCCTCTGCCCACCACCCCATTCCCGTTTCCTACACACTCCTTCAGAGAAGGGCTCTGCCTGGGGTCCGGGGAGCTGGGCAGAGCAGCCCACACTGCACATGGGATGCAGCAGGCTTGTCTGCTTTGTGGGTCACCTGTTCTCAGCCAGGGGCGGGGAGCAGCTGCAAGCCACCCTGGTGGCTGTGATGTTATCAGGGCCTAACGGTTTCCTTTGGGTCAGCATTTCCGCCCTCCTGTTTATGAAGCCAGAAACCTGTGCTGGGGCAGCCCCAGTGGGGGCAGAAAAGAGGACTCCAAGGAAAGAGAAAGAAAAGACCCCGGAAGCAGGCTTGGAAGATACAGCGTAGATGACTTACTTTGAAAGCAGAGTTTCACTTTTCCTATTTGAAAGGCAGAGGGACTAAGAGAGACCCGACTGCTGGTTCCCTCCCCAGACACCTGCAGCAGCCAGGGCTAGCTAAGATTCAGGAACCTGCAACTCCATCCAGGTCTTCCATGTGGTGGACAGGGACTGCAGGCCTTGAGCCATCATTGGCTGCCCTGCAGGGTGTACACTGGCGGAAGCAGAAGAGGAACAGCCAGGGCTCGTTCTCAGGCACTCTGATAAGGGATGACTGTGGAACATACGCAACCAAGCAGTGTATCAACCTCTGCACTAATCCCAGCTCCACAATTCACCTGTAAAAAAGAGGAAAAAAAATTAAAAGCACAAATGCACATTGCAAATGACTGGGAAATTTCTCATCCTGTGCTGGCTGGGCCCCAGCACCATCACTTTCTGTAGCTAGGAAGCTGGAATGGGAGGAGGATCTACATGAACCCCTGGGGGGCTTAGGGCTCCTTTCATTAGGCCCACGATGCTAGACTCTAAATAAAAGCAACATCAGGGCTCAACGTGATGATTCAACTGGCTAATCCTTCACCTGTAAGCTCTGGCATCCCATATGGGCACTGGTTCATGTCCCGGCTGCTCAACTTCCTATCCAGCTCCCTGCTTGAGGCCTGGGAAAGCAGTTGAGCATGGCCTGAAGCCTTGGGACCCTGCACCTGCATGGGAATCCCAGAAGAATCTGCTGGCTCCTAGCTTTAGATGGGCTCAGCTCAAGCCCTTGAGCCATTTGGGGAGTGACCAGTGGATGGAAGATCTTTTACTTTATCTCTCGTCTCTGTAAATCTGCCTTTCCAATAAAAGTAAATAAATCTTTTAAAAAAAAAAAAAAAAACAGCATCAGCCCCTTCTACATTTGGAATGTATATACAAGGCCAACCATCGCAAGGGTGGGTACTGAGGCCAGTATTGCAACTCAGTGAGTTAAGCTGTCACTTGTAATGCTGATATCCCATCTCAGAGTGCTGGTTCTCGTCCCAGGTACTTTGTTTCCTATTCAGCTCCCTGATCAGTCTAGAGAGTCACTGGACCCCTGCAACTCACATAGGAGACCCAGAATCAGCTCCTGGATACAGTCTGGGTCCAGCCGGGACTGTCACAGCCACTTGGGGGAGTGAACCAGCAGAAGACCTCGTTCCATCATTCTGCCTTTTGGATAAATAAAATAATTTTTTTTAAATGGTAAAACAAAAGCAGTGACTTTTTTTCAAAGTGCCCAGTGCCCTGGGTGAAGAAGAACATCAGAGTAGTTAACTCAGCTACAAAGTGGCAGAGCTGGAATTAGTTTTGTCTGCTCCTGAAATCCTGTTTTACTCCCATGTTCAGCTGAGTTAGGTAACTGGAAACCACTCTGGCACTGGGGCTCCTGGTGTGTGCAAAAGTCAGGCAAGGGGCCCGGCACGGTAACCTAGTGGCTAAAGTCATCACCTTGGGATCCCATATGAGCATCAGTTTGTATCCTGGCTGCTCTACTTTCCTTCTAGCTCCCTGCTTGTATCCTAGGAAAGCAGTAGAGGATGGCACAAAGTCCTGGGACTCTGTACTCACATGGAAGACCTGGAAGAATCTCCTGGCTTAGGATCAGCTCAACTATGACTATTGCAGTCACTTTCTTGTCTTTATCTCTTCCTCTCTCTGTAAACCTGACTTTGCAATATAGAAATAAATCTTAAAAGAGAGAAAGAGATAGGGAGAGAGAGGGAGAGAGAGAGAGAGATGCTTTATAAAAAAAAAAAAAAAAAAAGAAAGAAAGAAAAAGAAAGGAAGTCAGACAGGAGGGTGACCTGATTTCCAAAAGATGAGTTTGGAAGTGGCCATCCCAGAGCATGGGAAATGCTGAGATGAGCAACAGAATTGGGGCTGTTCTCTTCGCCTGCGTACATACTCACTTCCCTCGGCATTCCTCGCTGCATCTCCCTTCACAAAACTCACCTCTGCCTGTGCCCAACCTTGTCTGATGACCTGGGGTCCAGGCTTGAGGATGGGGTTAGAGGGAATGGCATTGCGGCGGGATGGCACAGGGACGCCCCTGCCAGCCAGTCGCCTGCATTTGTAAGACCGTCAGGAATGGGCACCTAGGACTGGCAGCCGAGTAGCGGACGATGATAGCAGACATGGCGCTTGGTGCAGAGCGCGGTCCCTGCTGTCTTACTGCTGCCCAGGAGGCCGCCTGGCGCTGCCATGGGGGGTGCACAGTTGCTAGGCTGTCTCAGAGGTATTGCATGATTAGGTTCTTGCCCTTTACTGTATTTAAGGAATGGAGAAAAGGTCCTTTAGCCAGTGGCTTGTGGGGGCGGAAATTCCCACAAAAGCCCTTCAGTGCAAGATTTGAGGAAGCGACTTACTATTCCAGGGGGCTTGGGAAACTTTGAGTACTTGGCTTTTCTACTGCTCCTCCTGACACACAGATGGGTGGGATGGAAAGCTCTTCCCCACGAGGGTGCAGCATCTTCCCTAAACCGGGCACTGGTGGGTACCCAAGGACCCTCGTGGCCTCCGGGGCCACCTCAGTTTGAAAAGAACATCCAGGCTCGCTCATCTCCGGGAAAGAACTCCACAACAGCCAGGTATGACACGCGGGCAATTTTAAGCAGAGAGCGAGAATGTTGGGGGCGGGAGGGGGTGCAGAAAGAAGGAAAGATGAACATAAAAGGGGGAGGAAAGGAAATGGAAAGAGCGAAAGATCAAGGGAAAGAAAGTGTGCTCCAGCGAAGACAGAGGCTGAGAAGGGCTGACAGCACGGCAGACCGGTCCCGGGCGGCAGGACGCAGCGGCGAAGGCGCACCGTGGCGCCGCGCCCACGCTCGGGCTGGTTCAGAGAGCCGGTGGCTCCGGCTCTGGAGTCCTGTCCCGGCGGGGACAGTATCTGTTTAGATTTGTGTCTAAATTTAAACCCTGTTCACTGGCCTCCCTCCCCTCGCCTCTCCCCTCCCTTTTTTTCCTCCCACTCTATTCTTCCTCCTCCTCCTCCTCCTCCCTCCTCCTCCTCCTTCCTCGTTCTCTCGCACTGGGCCCCCGCGGACGGGGCAGTCCCACAGCCGAGCACAGCCCGGTGCGCCGCCGCCCACTCGCCCTGCGCCGGCTGCAGCTGGAACCCGGCCCGGGAGCCGAGGGGACAGCGGGGATCGCCACTTCCAGCCCGGAGCTAGCGGGCACCTCTGCTGCTGGAGGACAACCCGGAGAACATGGAGGTACAGGAACCCGACCAGGGGTGCGGGGGGCACAGGCGCCCCTTTGCAGGCAGCCATCCCACCCGGCGCAGGGAGCACTTGGCTATCCACCGCTGCCGCGGAGTAGCGGAGGGGCAAATGTGGGCTGCCCCGCACCTCAGTTTGCCAACTCTGGAGGTTTGACCATCGCCAGCCCTACCTGGCAGAAGCTCTGGACAGGCAGAGGGTGGGCAAGGAGAGCCTTCAGAGGGAGAAGAGAAGGGCCTTTCCAGGGACCTAGGTGTCTGGGTTGGGTGCTTTTTTTCCGCGTAAGAAAAAGTTGGTGCATAGGTTTGTAAGTGAGCAAATGTGTGAGCACAGACTGCGAGAAACCAGAGCCTCTGAGGTTGAGCTGCTTATTGGAAAGAGAAACAGCGTTGCCGCGGGGGGGGGGGGGGGGGGGTGCTAGTGGGAACAGCCCTTCTCCTGTTTAAGAGTCCGCTGCCGTCTGAAACCCATTGTACCTGACACATTCCTCCTTACTTTCACAGACGCCCCTTTCCTGGGATAGGATGGTGGAGCGGGGGAGCGGGGCGGCAGACAAATGGTCGTAGTTCTGATCACACTTGGGACTCCACTGGCCGTCCTTGCTTGCTGAGACCGGCCGTCCTTGCTTGCTGAGACTGGGTTCTGGAGCATGCTACGGACCGCCCCACAGTAAGGCTTCACACTTGTGTCGGCAGAGGGCTGGGGACTTTCCTAAGACTGTTCCAACATCTGCAGGTCTGAGGAACCATCCTGCAGTGTCAGAGCACGCTGTGGGTCCCCCACATCCTCCACGCTCCACAACTTGAAACTTCCATAGGTTATCCCCTCCCCTCTCCCCTCCCTGAAATGGAAACTTGACTATGGAGCCCTGAGTTGATCTTGACAGACCTGGGGCTTTTGGAGAGAAGAAAGGGGAAGGTGCCAACGTTACACGGTTTTTTAAGGTGATTTCCCACTGGATTGGGAAAGGAAATCCATGCTGCGGCTAGTCTGATATCAGCAGCCATCGGGCGGGCAGGAGCCAGCTGTTCCTGGCCTCTCCTCCCCGCTAGCTCTTCCCAGCTCCAGGCTCATGCCTGAGCTGCGTCTCTTCTGAGCTAACTCACTGCTTTGCCTGCAAAGTTCTGGGGCTTCTCAAAAGGGGCATGCCTGTCTTTGGGCAGCTTTCGTTAGGCCTCCAGCTCAACCAGTTGTCTCCGCCAGAACCAAGATCAGCTGCAGAGAGAACGTAGAGAATGTGGGGGACTCTGGGATCTGCTGGACCCGGAGGTGGCCCATCTGTAGAAACATTTGCGAAGTAGGGGACCGTGGTGGGTGAAGGCCAAGGGTGCAGCTCCGCAGGTGGTCTTTGGAAGTCATCTCTGAGACTGTAGAAGCTCATGGCAACAGGCTCTTGCTGAGCAGGTACACTCCAGGGCAGGGAAGGGAGAAGGCTGGGATACCCTGCCGTGGCCAAACTTGGAGAAGGTTCCTTAAGAAAAGGCTTTAACAGTGGGCTCCCTCCTCTGAACCAGCACAGGATGCCTGCACTGCAGGCCCCAGCTGGAGATTCCAAAGGGTTTACGCCCTGCCTAATCTCTTGCAGCAATGGATTGGAGATAAGAGGAAAGCAAAGCTCAGGCTTGGAGCAGACTGTGGCTGCCGGACCCGGTGCAAGTCTGAACTGCGGAGTGGAGGCCCGGTCCAGAGAGGCACTTGAGTGTCTTTTGGTTGAGGAAGGAACAGTGGGTGACAACAGTCCGGAAGGTCTCAGTGGAGCAACTTCCTGTGTTGCTGTGGGGTGGAGGGGCGGGGCCGGGGAGGGCCCCCTGGCTTCAAAGTGAGGAGGGCGGTGACTCACCAGGAGCCTACCTAGAAAATCAAGTCACCATGTGCTGGGGAGGGGCGCCTGACAGGCCACCCTGCACCTACCCCAGGCCATGGGTGTGCTGACTGCCAGACACTGCTTTCTGACATTGTAGAAAAGCCTGGGGGAGGAGGGGAGGCGAAAGCCAAACCTTGTCACTGTTAGCGCAGGTGAAGGAAATGAAGAGATGAAGAGGAAACCAGAGGAGGTGGTGAAGACCCACTCTTGGCCAGGAAGTGAATTTGTCAAGGTGGGGTGTGGCCGGCAAGAGTGAGGTGTGGGGATTCCTGAAAACCTAGAGTAAAACCTTCCGCAGAGACGTGAAACCCACGTGTGACACGACGCTTCTACCGTATTTGGGAATAAGCCGAATCACATTCATTTCCACTACTGCGGTTCTCACCAAACAAGGCGTGCTTTCTCTAGATCTCATTGGAAATGTTTGCTTTCAGTATCATCATTGACTTGAAAGGCAGAGATCTTTCATTCGTGGTAGATTCCCTCAAATATCTGCAAGAGCTGGGGCTGGGCCAGGGTGAAGCCCAGGCCCCCTGTGTGCATGGCAGGGCCCCGAGTACCACAGCAGTCCTCTGCTACCTCCCTGGAAGGCACAATCACAGGAGGATGGATCAGAAGCACAGAGAGACTTGAAGCCAAGGCACTGGGTCTGGGGGTTCAAGAGCTCCAGATGGTGTCCTAACCACTAGGCATAAACCTGCCCCTGGAAGTCATTGAGAAATAGCCTTCATTGATTTGTAAGACAAAATTACAGGGAGGAAGAGAGACGTAGATCTTCCATCGGCTGGTCCGTCCCTCAGCTGACTGCAGTGATTGGGCCAGACCAAAGCCAGGAAGCAGGAGCTTCTTCCAGGTCTCCCCCATAAGGACGGGGACTCGAGGACTTGAATCATCTTCTGGTGGTTTCATAGGAGTGTTAGCTGGGTTGGAAGTGGAGCACTTGGGACTTGAACTGGTACCCTATGGGCTGCTGGCTTTGTAGGCAACTTAATTTGCTGTGCTGCAACGCCATCCCTGAGAAATATCGTTTTAAAAACCACTTACCATTTTCAACAGCGTGAGTCTTGTCAGCCATCATTAAGCCCTCTGGAAAGAATAAAATGAAGATGCCATCAAGTCGATGCCTTAAAAAAAAGAAGAAGAAGAAGAATATTGGGCCTGGCATGGCGGCCTAGCAGCTAAAGTCCTCACCTTGAATGTGCCAAGATCCCATCTGGGTGCCAGTTCTAATCCCAGCAGCCCCACTTCCCATTCAGTTCCCTACTTGTGGCCTGGAAAAGCAGTCAAGGATGGCCCAAAGCCTTGGGACCCTGCACCCACATGGGAGGCCCAAAAGAGGCTCCAGACTCCTGGCTTCAGATAAGCTCAGCTCCAGCCATTGTGGCCGCTTAAGGAGTGAATTAGCAGATGGAAGATCTTCCTCTCTGTCTTTCCTCCTCTCCGCATATCTGCCTTTTCAATAAAAATATGTTTTAAAAGAATATTTATTTTTATCGGGAAGGCAGATTTACAGAGAGAAGGAGCGAGAAAGATCCTCCATCCACTGGTTCACTCCCCAAGTAGCCACAATGGCCACAGCTGAGCCAATCGGAAGCCAGGAGATTCTTCTGGGTCTCCCATGCAGGTGCAGGGTGCCAAGGCTTTGGGTCATCTTCCACTGCCCTCCCAGGCCACAAGCAGAGAGCTGAATGGGAAGCAGAGCAGCTAGGATACAAACTGGCGCCCATATGGTATCTTTGCGCAAGCAAGGCAAAGAATTGAGTCACTAGGCTACCGCACTGGGCCCAAGTCCATGCCTTTTGAAACTCACACTCGATAAAGGAAATTAGACTCAGTGTATCTGATCATGTGTGTGACTTTCAAACACACGTGCTCCACATGCATGACTCGTGCCAACCCTGAGTTCCTTGAGAGCTGAGAGTAGAAGAGACTCGAGAAAAGCCTGAGAGGAAAGAAGGTGGTGGTGAGGAGGAGAAGGTGTGAGGGATGGGTGCAGGAAGAACATGGCAGCTTTTGACAATAGGAAAGCAATGCCAGAGGGCCAGGAAGTATAGTAAATGCTGGCCGGCCGAGTGGGAGGAACAAGAAACCTAAGCCACCTGCAGGAAAGGATCATCTTCTCCTCATATAAATTCTGCTTGCTAGATGTGCCCCCAAGCAGTGCCCTTCCCTGGTTCATACAGAGCCACGTGTAGCTCTGAAAGGCCAGACTGTGTGGTGCAGGACTCAGCTCCACAGACAATGGGAAACACGGAGAAGTATCGTGTGAGATGATGACAGAGGTGGCAGCTCATAGCCTGAGCAAAGGACCCATGGCAGAGCTGCTTTGCTGGCCCAGGGAGAGTCTGACTTAGCGGACTTAGCAAGAACAGAACGCACAGGGGGGCGGGGGTCTTTAGCCATTCAGTGTACATGCCAGTGAAGACACCCGTGTCTCCCCTCGGGATACCTGGCTTCAGTGTGTAGCTCTGGTTCCTAACTCCAGCTTGGTGCTGATACAGATCTGGGGAGAGAGCAGTGGTGGTTCAAGCGGACAATCCGGATTCAGGTCCTGTGGAAATCAGAGGCCACTTGTGTTCGGAGTTCGCCAGGGCACCCAGGAGAGTGGAGTTCTCCAGGGTGACAAGCAGAGACAGCGCATGCTGGTACAGCTCTTTGGGCAGGGACTGTCATAGGGGTTCTTGGGTTTCCAGAGCTTAACACGGTGCCTGGCACATACTTGCTCTAACTTCTCACTTAAAGCCTGGTTGGTTGGATTCCTTTCCCCCCTCCACCTGCAATTCAAAGATCTCCACCTCTGGGAGTCTTCTTAGATGCTGTTACAGTACTCGATAGAGCTGCATTGCTGCCCCCACTGGAAGCCTGGCTCTGGAAGGTCCTTCAAGGCAGAAGCCATGGATCTTGGCTTGAGTGAGTGAGAGCCCAATAAAACTTGCTGAGTGAGTGAATGAACTACCGGCTTTTTTTTTTTTTTTAACTTAAATTTAAAACACATTCTTTAAAAAAAAAAAAAAAACAGTTCCACTGTATTGGTTTGGCTTATGCTAAGCAGACAGGTCTGGGATGTTGAGAGAAACACAGATCTCTTAGGATGAAAATATGATAGGGAAAGACTGGTGGGTAGGAACGT